ACAATAATAAAATTGAAGAATGTTTTCAATCGTAGGGTTAACAGAAATATTTTAAAAAGCAGAAAGAGTTTGATGCGTTACATTTTTCATTTCATCTTTTTAATAATCTTACTCGTAACGAAATAATAAAAAAGTTGATTACGATCGGAATATTTTAGAATATCACACCACGGAGGATTTCATGCAGCATTCAAATATATATCAAAAGTTTTCTATAAAAAAATTTATATTCACTTGACCAAATGATGATTCTTTTCCTTGAAGATCATAAATTTCATTTTCATGTATCATTTGCTTCGCACATATCCCTTCTAAGGAAATAATATTTTACGACTCACCGAGACTCACCAAAGAAGGATATGAAATGAACCCCAATATATTGAAATTTGATGCCACTGTTTATTGACCATTTGAGGGAAAGGGTAAACTTTTTAGCTTTCAAATCATTTGTTTTTTCTTCCTGCTTATTTATCACGGCTTATCCAGATATAATGTGCAATTTAAAAGGTAAATAAATTCTGATAACATGCGAAAGTAGCATTTTACTATGATTATTTAGGTCAAGTGATGTTTCGTTGTAAACTTTCACACGTTGAATAATATAATTGCAACTCTAATAAATTTGTTATGCAACCGATTGAACAATTTTTTTGTAAGTTCAGTACATATGCACTTATATAAGTAGTCTCTTTTATGCTGACACAAGAAGAAATATGTAAATTTTTCTTAAAATTATTTTAACTCATAATTGAGCATAAAAACTGAAGACAGGAAAGCGGTAAAACATATTTAATTCGTTCCACTTGACTGTCACGCGTTACCATCATTTTATTCTGTTTTGAAAGTTGATTGTCTTGTGGACTGAATTTATAACAACAATCTCATTACTTAACAAAGTTAGTGTATACAGTTTCACCCAGAAGTTCAACTCAGATCTTCCCCAAGTATTTTACTTATGTTTTATGCATACAAGTGATAAAGGATTAAGAAATTATTTAATTCAGAAGCATGCAATGTGATGATCATCAGCGATCCAATGAAACTTGCTACAAGTAAAAATTCTTCATGAATTTCTAAAGATGAATGCTTTGGGCTATCTTCGACATGAAAGAGTTACCTTAAATATGATTAAATTTATCCCTTAGATGAGGTATAAGAATGAATGATTACTTTCCTTTCCTGATTAGTTTGTTTGAGAGTCTCCAGAGATACATAAATATTTATTTATGTATTCATTGAAAATAAGGTAATGAAATTAAAGGATTTCTTTCTATGAATCACAAGATATTACGAGACAAAAATTTAAATGAAGAACATTAATAAAAGGGTTGATATTTGACCCCTTTTCCAAATACGCAAGTCGTATAGAAATATATATTGTCATCCTAAAGTGAAACTCATCAAATACAATTGTAATTGCAGTGGTCCTTAACGAAAATGTTGAAGAACTATTTAAAAGAGTGGATGAAGTATGAAAAATCGAATCATATTATCTAAAAAACGTTAAATTTGTGAGCTAAGCAAAAGGGAAAGAAAACAAGACAAACTTATTGCTATCTCTTAGAAAAGCTTCTTTTTCTTTCACAACAGTATTGTGTTTTTACCAAATAAATTTAACTATCTGTAATGATTTTATCGCATATTCGTGATCGATATTCATGTTTAAAGGTGGGTTATGTGAAAGAAAATTCAAGGAGTGTCAATTAATACTTTCCAATCGGAACAAGGCATAGGAGCTCGAATAAAACTGCTCAATCGCGTGTACTAATCTCTTATAGGGATTTGATCCCCTTCATTGAAAGATATTTGAATAAAATGTCAAAAAAGGTTCATTTTTCTATATTAGCTAAACATTTGTCAGTTTATTTGAATCATTATTTTGTGTTATCAATATCATTGTTAAATGTCATCGTCAATTAATAAATTTTAAAATTGGTAACTTTAAGTTCTTGTAAAAGGCAAATAGAATTTTAGTAGTTCCCGACATCGAATAATTAGATTGATTCCTTTTTTGTATCAAAAGAAAGATTATAAATTAATTCTTTTCTTTAGAGTTCAATCAAAAATATTCAGTACAATTGTCCTAAATCATATCGCGAGACTTACCTATATGCTTCATTTAAAATCCATAAATATCCATAATTACAAACAATTTTTCAACATTTATTTTCGTAGGTTTAAATCTTAAAACACTTTATAGTTCCTAAACGAGAAAATCAAACATCAGGAAAATTAATTTTATACCTCATTAATATTTTGTCTAGCGAGACCGTGTTCTTTATTATACATTCAATCAGAAGAATGGAGAAGAAAAGAAGAAAAGCGAAGAAGACCTGATCGTCTATGCTTTCATATCTATACTCAATCAAATACTTATTATTTGTATGAAATAGATTCGAGTGAAGGCATCCGATTACTTGGAGGCAGTGAATTTCAACTGAGACGTGGCAAGAAGCAAATAACTGTATCATTCCCATAAAAGATTTCGATTATTCCGGAATTTACCGAAGAGTTTCTCATAGACATTTTTATATTTTCTCCTGGCTTAATTCAGGCAGTTTTTAAGAGATAGAAAGAAACGTTTATTAATAAATAAAATACTGTAGAGCACATCAAATGAAATAACGATGAGAACACAGTTCATTATTTGATGATCATCAAACCATAATAGTTTGCCTTGTTTCTCCTTTGAAATCTCGTGTCGGAATTTACTTTCTTAGACAAGACAGGAAACATCCAATTTTGCCATCTAATGAAAATGTTAACTATGGAATGGATATTAGTTTTCAATTTGATGCTGTTATGGTCGCTTGAACTTCTGAATCAATCGTTTGGAAAACAACTTGCATGAAAGTTACAGATAAATCAATAATGATTTCAAATATTTATTCTGAGGTTTACTAATCACAATAATTTGTTACAATCAGCAGCATTTGACTCAAAACAAAGAAAAGCATCTTAAAGAACGAAACAGTGACAATTTCTAAACATTAAATTTGATTAAAAGTTCCTAATGCGCCATCGTCAGTAAGAAATGAATATGCCCATATCTGTTTATGTAGAATGTCTAAATATTTACAAATGAAAACTTATTGTATCATCATTGTTTTGTCGACAGATTTTAAAATTTATTGATCAAGAAAATAATGTAAAAATAGAAATGTTTTGTCTTCAATATAAATCAAGGGAGAAGCGGACTTAAAACATGCATGTTGATGTTGAGTCATCACAGAATTCTGATTTAATTTCGAAACCGAGATTGAAAATATGACGAATGACTTTCGATTTTTCAGAGAACTTTCTTTTTGTGCAAGCGTCATTGTGTGAATGAGTGTCTCAGATGTGGAGGAAAGCTGTGAAAAATCGTTGAAAGAACAAAAGTAATTTAGGGGTCTGTAAAAGTTATGTCATTCTGGTGAAACCTTTCTTAATCATAGACAAGAAACATAATATTTTGTTAAGAAATATGAACATCACTAACATTTCCTTCGTGGTAAGTTGAGGGAAGTTTTGCTATGGCGTCATTAGTTATCTTCTCGTATCAAGTGTTGTACGTAAATGTACGAAAATAAATTTATTTTCTTCTATCACTTTTGCTGCTGCTGCTGCTGCGTGACAAAACTCGCAAGCAACTTCTCTGTCGTATTTATCATTTGGGATTAATTAGTTTGAGAAAGTTTCTCTATTGTACAAGAATTATGTTTGATTTCCACTTCTTTTTGTTCAATGACATGTAATTAAGAGAGTCCTTTATTTTCACTATAACTTCGTCGGTTTTGTTATTTATTAGGTTTTCATAATGAAAGAAAGGAAGAATGAATGGAAGACAAAATATGTAAGTTAGCATGTGCAACTTCGTGATGACGAGTGGAAGATTTAGTGTTTCTTTTCCTGTCTATCAATGAATTATTAAAACTTAGTTTCTTTAAAAGCAACTAAGTCACTTTGTGTCTTTTTATCTGCAATCAATTTTAAGTATCTCAACATCAACAACATTTCTTAATCATAATTTTAAACACTTGCAATTGCTGTTATAAAAAGAATTGATCTTTACCATACCTAGCAAAGGATTGATATGAATTAAGCCACAAAACAATGTTTTATGTATAACAAGAATTTAGGTATCAAGCGAACTTCCTTATTTATGATGTTGAGGTCTGTGTCCGTCCCTATTTATACATTAAATTAACGTGTAGAAGAAATTTTAAGCTAAAGGATGTGCGTGATATTGAACAATTAAGGAAACTTACGTCTTTTTTTACTACAAGAAGAACAAAAGTAAGAAAAGCTTCGAATGAAAATACAAATTTCTGATATCAAATTGCAAATGACTTCGCGACACTTGCATTTCAGTATCGATAATCTTACATTTTTATTTTGAAATTGTAATCCATACGAACGCGAAATGATCAAAATTATTAATTTTGTTTTTCTTTTAAAGGTCAAACGATTTTATTAATATCACTTGACAGACTGTTATGCATTATATCCACTGATGAAAAGATTTCTTTATGTTTATCAGTTCTTAAGTTTCTTGTGTCTCTTTGTTTCCATTTGTATCGTATTGCAGATGTCGAAATGGTACAAAAAATATTAAAAAAAGAGTGTATAGTAATGCACGATTAAGACTTAAATAAGAGTCGCTGAAATTATTTAATTCCACGCATTCATAATTTCCCTTTAAGCGCTCTTTTAACTTTTTACAATGGAACTGAAATTTGAGAAATATCAAAAGCATGATTGTCTGGGGACATTTATTAATGATGCGAGGGTAAACAGCGATAACAGTTGCAAGAAATAAAAGTTATGCAAACTCAGTTTTAAATAAATTCCCTTCTCATTCATTCTAAAGCGTTTACATTACATGCAGAGGTCTTGGGTTTATTACAAACTCACTTTTGAAATTCTAAACTGATCAAAGTACAATTACAGAAATGGATATTAGAAGTCTGCTTAACATATTTAATTGCTTCGATTATTGGTAAACATATGTAGATAAAATGTCGTCTGGTCAAACATTAACGATATGCTCCCCAGAATGTTCTGTAACTGTTGGAGATTTGTCATCGGGCACATTAAACACAAATTATTGGATCCTAACACGAAAGACAAGAAATTTATTGATTTTGTCTTTTGCGGATCTTGTTCTAAGTTTTATTCTTACTGTGAAAGTCGTTGTCATAAATTATGTGACGTTTAATCGTTGCGTCGCTTTCGGTTTGAATCGATCTGAAACCTTTTATTAATGAGATTGGTTATTAATGCTTTCATTGATTTTACTAGATACTTTTTATATGTAGAGAGAGGTTTCTAGTTTTGGAAGATGTTTTGATAAAGGAGTTTTTTATTTTTGGAATTTAGAAGAATATAAATTTTGAAGCTTCAATTAAGTCGCGCTTTGATGATCAAGATAATTCATTTATAGGAACTTAAAGAGCTCAATAATTAAACCGCAATAAAACAGACAATTAGAAGCATCAAAGGAAGTTATTTTCCGTTTTAAAATTAAGATTTCGGAAGCAATAGAGCACCTTTAGACTTATCAGATTTTATGTCTGATTTAAGTTTGAAATAAAACAATCAATGAACTTATGCCGCTCAAAATAAAATTAACGATTAGAAATCACATTAAAATGTAACTTTGTAATCAAGTTGTTTCAATGGATGTCCTTTGAAGTGAATTCCGAATGGATATTTTGTATCTTTATTTGTTTCGTTTATCTAAAGTTCGTTCTTTCGTTGATTATAAAAAATAGTTAACTACGAATAAATATCAAAGTAGATGATTTGACGATAGGTAACAAGTAAAGATAAACTTGTCTACCGGATATATTTAGAATAAATTTTATTAAGACACTAATTCAATGACATAAAATACTATTTAGATGTCAAAATCTATCACATTAATTTCTGCTTCAAAAGGCGACACAAAACAAGTTTAATAAGGCAATTTTTTGTGCCAATCATTGTGATCATTTCATTTGTATAACAAAACTAAAATATTTGAAGTAAAATTAAAAACTAAGAAGAAAAGTTTTTGAAACTTTCATTCATTCAACGTTGAACTTCTTTAAAGTAATTCGATACTCTACATTGCTAAATACTACAGATCTGTTAAATTTAAAACACTTCTCGGCATTGTTAAAAGGTTGAATGTATTCAAATTAGAAATATATTTGAAATATGTCTTTCTTCTCTTTTTCAACCTTATTTCTCCGATTCTGTTGTAATGCAATTAAATAAATTTGTCTCAAGGCCGGATCTTTGTGTCTGATCTTTGGCACGGCAACGAAAAAGCAATTAAGTTTAAAACGACAAAGCTGATAAGCTGATTTATGTCAATCAAAGAGCGTTCCAAATTGTCATTTGATTATCATGTCAACAGTCAACCTCAATGTTGATTTGAATAAAAATTACGACTTCATCAATTTGTTTACTAGACTGGCTTTTGAAGTGCGACTTTTTGCCGCTGCATGATTTTCTTCCTTTGTCAGAGATATGACAGTCGTAAAAAAACATGTCATCAATTTTGAAATGCATGCAAAAAGAATGACATTTATTTCTTGAAAAAAGAGATCATTGTGAAATGTAGATCGCTTGGTCGATGACTTTACATTTATCACAAATAAAATCTTAAAAATTTAAATTCTTATTCTCATTCTCGTTTGTCATCCACATCGATGGCTATTTCATAATATTTTTTATTTAAATTTCTCTCTTTCTTTGTCATTAACTTAATTATTCTTTAATGAGAAATTGTTATGTGTGGTTTTTGACTTAATACTACATTTTATTTCTAAGATCATCAACAGTTTGTGTAAAAGAAAAGATTTTTCGGCTACATAGAAGAAATCTGCAAAATAAAACAAAATATAAAAACAAAATCTTTCAGTTCAAAGCTGCCTTCTTGGAAACGATTTTTTTTCTTTCTTCTTTTGTTTGACTCGAGAACCCTGTCGCTTTATGTCGTTGCTTGTGTTCACATGGATTTAATTAATGATAGTCTGATTTTTAATGTGAGCTTAAATATCTTTGATGACACGTTTATGTTATCCTATCGAGTTGAATAAAAATTCATGGCTTGTCTTTTTCCGAAAGACAAAAAGACAACCATCCAGTTCGTATTGCGGACACTTAAACGAAACATGGCAAACGCAACATAAAAAGTTACTTACTGTGCAAATGCTAAATGAATAAATGGATGACACTGCTAAAAGATGATAAGAAACCACAACAAAACATTCCAATAATTTATTATATTGAATACATAAATATAATCAACTTTCACAGCATTGAATGTGAAATGGGAAATAAGGAAAAAAGTTAAATTGACTCTTAGATATTTTAAATTTTATGGAATTTCATGCTAAGTCTCAAATTGCGCGAAAAAAATTCTTCTTCTGATCAATCCACTTTGTATACAGCTGAGAGTTTGTTACTGGAAACTTGTATGGAAATTTGTGAACTTCACAGAATAAACATAGTCGTAAAGCTTAAAGTAAATGCACTCTCAAGATTTTTATTTCGCTGATCTTTTGCTTCGTGTAAACATTCTTTGCTCCAATTACCCCTTAGCATATACACACGAGAGATTGTACTGAAAAGAGAATTTAGTATTTATCAGATCGACACTTAAATAAATTGAATGCGAAATAAATGTTTTCTGGAAAAAGAATGAAAGAGCAAAGAAGGTAAAAAAAGTCCTCTGATACATCAATTTTGCATTAGCATTTTACAATTCCTTTTCACATAAGCAAAAATTGTTATGGCCTTGTCAGTGTCTGATAAGATTCCGTATTTGTTTTCATATTCACGAGATAAGCCTCATCAGTTTCCGCGCAAGAGTTCAATATATCATGATTGCTTGCTCAACTTAACTTCATTCAAATACCTTCGATAAAATTTTCGTTCTTTTACTTAATTAAATTTTATTACTCCTTCAAACACACACATAACTACAAAAATATATTATGTGAGTTTATAAATTATCTTTGTTTCTAATATGGTTAATGTTGTTCATGAGATTAAGTAGGAAATAGAAATAAATTTGAAACAATGATTAATTACTAGCAATTCATTTTTAACATGACACATGTTACTTAGTCAGTTTTGATATCGTTTGATATCATAGTTAATACATCATATTTAAGGAGATTTCATTTGGGGGGATATTTAGAACGAAACTCACTTGATTTTTGTTTTGCAAGCATTCGAGTGTTTTTCTAACGAAACATATGTGTCGGTAGTGGAAAGGAAATGTCTCAGATGGTCAAAAAGTTATAAAAATGTTATCTAAGTTTAACATTTTTCTGGTTACTCGATTAAATACACATCGAAGTTGATTGTTACGAATGATAAGAAGCTTTCTTTTCGGGAAGCCACGTACTCAAATAGATCATCAATAAAACGTGCTCCCTTGTAGAATTCTGATTATAAAATGTTTCTTGGACTATTAGAAGCAATGAGTTTACAAAGTCAACTGTCGTAAAAATGTATTCGTTAACATTGTTCGAATCAATTTTTCATTCCACTTATTGATTTGCTGCACAAATTGGGAAGGCGACAAAAATTTGAAAGTCATCATCTAATGTGCAACATTATAATGAAAGCAGGGGATGACAGAACATCAAGAAACGACAATAACAGTTGTACGTACTTAAGAAAATCTCATTCGACGTGACCTGGAAAATTCGGAAAAGTAGCAGAGTAATATTTTATATTTAAACGTTTAATTAGTTTAAAACGGCGGACTGAAAACAGAAAATCAAAATTTTAACAAGCAATGACAACACTGAGTGGGGACTATGCTTCTAATTAAAAAATAATTAAAGTTTATTCCATTGTTTTGCGGTGATTTATGTTCACACAAGGCTTTTGGGGAACAACTTTGACATTAAATTGAGTGAAATGAAGAAATTTATCATCATGTTCTTACTCGAAAACTTATTCGTGAACCCTCCAAGATGTTCACTCTCCTTAAGGAAAGAAAATTGTTTAATTTTCTGTAAAATTCACCAAACAATTTGTTTTCATTTGATTACACTAAAAGAATTTTCTTTTTTTTTCGTCGTTTTGGAATGCGAGGGTGAATTTTGTTCCGTTATTTTTCATTTCATTTCCGCTATGTTTTTCTCACATCAAAGAACATTCAAAATTAAAATTTCACGGAGTCATTCGTTTGTTCCCCTGCAAATTTGAAACAGTCTTCAGCTTTTTTTATCAATAACAGAGAGATAGCAAAAAATTATTATTTCATTTACATATATTGGTCATATGAATAAATTATAAGGCCGCCGTGCCGTTTCTCATTCCAAACTCTTTGTATGTTTACCTACATCTTTTTGTTCTATTTTCTTTCGTTTGCCTTTTCTGTTTGTTTTTAAAATAATTTCCTTATCGCATTAACAAGTCCATCAAAGAAGTTTATCCTGAAACGTAAGTGCTATTAAATTAATTGGTTCCAATGATTTTAATTATTGTCGTTTCTCAATATATTTATGTTAAACTCGTGAACACTTTTTAATTAGCCATTTAACACTTAACACTGTTAATACCGTCATTCCGAGATAAAAAATTCTTAGGTAGAGCTTCTAAGTATGTTGAAGTTAAAATAAAATCTTCGGCAGTGTGTGGTGCAAATGGAAAAAAATAAACGCTACAGAAACAGTAATAAGATCGAACACATTTCGTGTTATAATGAAAAATGAACGACTAATGAATTGTTTTCGTGTCTTTGCAAGCACTGATGGAAATTTTCACAGGTTTTGATTATACTTGAAAGGTTCAAAGATTATGACAACATTGACATCTTTTATAATTTGTTGTAGAGTTTGTAATTTTTTGAAAAGAATTTTTTTTAATTTAATTAACAGTTTGAAGTTAATAAACTTATAAGTCATTTTCATCATGTCTACGTTTCCTATTTAAATATGGTTTTTAAAATTCTAAATTAAACAATAGAAATATGTTAATACTCTTAACGTAATTTGTCATCAACATATTATTAACATCAAAGCATGAGAACATATTTTAAAGTTTATGCAATCATTTCACTCGCTTTTAATTATCACCTTTCATGCATCTCAATTCAGGTTAAATTTATAATTAATCGTGGCATTACAGTATTTACGCTTTCGATTCTGCTATTTTATGCTGTTAACTATATGTAGTTAAATTATGTTGAAGCACTTTTTGTTCCGCGGACAAAAATACATAAAAAATATTCATTTGCAACTTAGGAAGTAAATATTTGCAAATTAAACTGTTTAACTTCTTTTGCCCAAGAAATATCAACAATGGAAGAAAGTGAATTATTACGATTGATGCTTCAAAAAGCAGCTTTGGTTCCCGTGACATTTCTCTTAAAGATACCACTCAGAATTAATTTCTTTTACCATTTGTATTAAATGTCTACATTACATACACTTCCGTGGCTCATAAACATTTATTGACACATTTTCATTTTCCCAAGCAATTCTTTCCAATTTCTAAAAGCAATCGATGACATTTTTTGCTACCGTAAAGGAACATAAAACATTCAACTCTCTCTCTCTCTCTTTTACTTTATTAATGATCCCCTTGATATCACTTTTTGATATCCCAATAATCAACTCAATGTTTGGTTCTGTGTGTTCTTTGTTCAATTCTAATATTCGTTCTATCTATCTAATCGCATAAATGAAAGTCATTAAAAAACAAAGTGGCAAAAATAAATGTACACATGACAACGTGTGACGCGCGGCACCTATTGTCACGATTGGTGTGAATTTTCTCAGATGTCTCATAACAATAATCGAAAAAATTCTAATAAGCAATACATGTGAATTCAGGTCTGATGTCTCCAATATTACTGGGTAGAATTTTTTTGTTTTGAAAGCACATTTTGTTAACTTTTTGAGTATACTTTTAATGTCAAATAAATATTTATTTGCATTGAATTAATTACGTTTTAGGAAATTATTAATTTCAATAAGAAACAAAGTATTTTCCCATTACTAAAAGAAAATAAAAGAAAAACATCTTATTTTGCACGTTATTTTCAAGACACCCCCGCACCATTATTTTATAACTTTTCAAGTCTCATTCTTTTCTGTTTTATGATTTATCAGCTATCCCCATTTACGTTGTCATTCATCATACTTTCACATATATCTAAGTATTTTCGTATATATTTATTTTGCTTTAGACAAAGAAGATCAAAATAAAACTTTTTCCATGGTGTCAGCAAGTCTTATAAAATGTTTGTTATCTTAACTTCCTTTTAGTTATCACCAACAGGCAACAGAAGCAAAAATAACTCATCCAAGTTAATATCCCCACTTGGCCACTTTATCATCGAGTTGTTGACGTTTTGATATCAAATATATAGAAATAAGTAATAAATAATTTACGTTTTGCACTTCTACATAAGAGATATTCTAGCTTCATATTATTCTTTTCTCTTAAATCCCTCTATTGCTTTTGTTGAATGTAACTGCAATACAATCATAAATATAATTGAAACGAGGGAAGAAAAAAGTTCTGCTAAATTAAATAACGAACGAGACACATTAATATTTAAATTAAAATTGCCTTTAGGTCTTACAACAAAAAGAATTCATCGTGAATTGAAAATACTTTCCGAATAATCAAGGATGGTATAAACCTTCTTGATCTCTTTGAAGTTTTATGAGATTTGGTGCAAGTTAAGGCGTTTGTAACTTCTCTTTTTCTTCAAATTTATAAAGAAAATATATTTGAAATTTGTTTCACTCTACTAACTTAAGAAGTATGAGCGTTGTAGGAATCATAATATTTCATATGCAGCGGTGGAAATTTCGAATAAAGTTTTATCCAATCTAAATATTTCAAAATGTTTAAGACGACTTTTCAAGCAAGTTTAAGTCTACTAAATCATTTGTCTTGTAAATATACATAGAATGAGGTGAAAAGTATTTGAAGTCATACAATTTTTCTTTTCTACATATTCATGAACTATTTCCATTAAACTTTTCTTTTAAATCTTAAAAATTTGAGTATGCAAACGTCAGAACTTCTCATTTCCAAAAAAATTCTCTTCTTTTAAAGAAATTAAGCACATTCAATGAAAAATATCGCTTATTTTAAGACAATGGAATCGTAAACATAAACATTTCAAATAGTCAAACAAAAATTTTGTTTTGCAACATGAAAGGGGAAAATGTCAAGATTTTTCCAAATATTTTCCCCACTTTGACAAACTCAATATGAATTTCACGAGGGTCTTGCTTACCAAAGATGTTTTCTTAATTCAAGAAGATTTCCCTCGCTTATTAAGCATCTTTAAGACAAAATAGGTGTTGAGAACTTCGATGATTTTCAAACATCATTAGATTTACTTGTTTTCTCATTGACTACCATATGTTCTCTTCATAAAAACATATTTTCATAATTCAAAAGTCACAACTCGTTTTTTCTTTCTTTCTTAATAAAACTAATCAATAAGAAAATTGTTGATTCAACAGCTGGGATGAAACATGTTGAAGACAAAACTGTGTTGACCTCTAGAATGGATGAGTTTCGTTGCTAGTTGATTGTTGAAAGACTAAGTGAGAGAAGAAATAATATAATATGTTTGTTATTACTTACTACCACTCTAGTCCATTTAGATATTAAGACCATTGCGCTAAAAGAGAAAACACATGAAAAATAAATAGCTGAAGAAGAACACGCCAACTGCACAGGTAAATTGGATTCATAAAGAAATAAAAAGCCATTGAGTACGCGCATAAATAAATAATCCACGAAAAGCTAAAGTTACGGAGAGTATATCTAGCGTAACTGCCTTAATTATTATGCACTGCTACCTCAAAACAACTGATTCGAAGAAAAGAAACTAAGAATGTGCAACAAGTAAGTTTTTTAAAGACGATAAAAAAAGGGCATCATAATATTCCATAATATAATTGGATAGTGCATAGAATTTTACTTCTTCAGCAACGTCACCACCGGAGATGCATGACGGAAATTTTCAGGTAATTATTTTCATTTTTTACTTACATCTTTTCTTTTAATTTTATGCAAATATGTGACGGGAAAAAATAAATAAGATCATCTCATGAATATGGAGATTCCACTCTGTTCGTTACACTTGACAGTCAAAGAGCGTAAAAATTGGTGCTGTCGCTTTGTGACCGTAAAAAAAGCAAGTAAAATTTATGATAATTTTGCTGACATATCTATGTTCGTATCCAAAACGCCCTAAAGTTTACAATTTTCTTATTATTTCTCTTTCAAAGTTTCCAAACGATCTAAATAATTCAGAAATTAGAATTCACAATTCCATGAGAAACTGTTACTCTCTGACGTTTAATTAATGACCGAGACATCATGGACTCTATAAAAATTGTGGACACTGTGACATCATTTTCTTTTCTTGAGATTATCTTCGGTTACTTTAAGTTTCAATTCTCATGTTTTTGAATATTTTTGTGTTAAACAGACTGTAACGTGCACAACTTGAATTGCAAATTATATCTTTCCCAAATGACATTTCGTCTCTTAAGGTGTTCATAAATGATGTGTTGCAATAAAAGAAAGGAAAGAACATTTAAGAAAATGGATGCAACGATATTTCCAAATTCGAATCATCTCGAGAAATGTCAAGCTGAGCATACTTCAAGACGCCAGACAAAAGACACCATTAAAGGTGATATTGAAAAATTATTATTTTAAAATTTTAATTTCTTCACGTATTCTTTCTTCGAAGTTTGAACATATAAAGAAACTGACCGCCCAAGTCCAGGAAATAAAATATTTATGACATTTCAAAGATCTTTTAGTAATTAACAAATTATTTATTTTTTTTGCTTATAACTCATAAGTAGAGAGAGAGAGAGAGAGAGAGAGAGAGAGAGAGAGAGAGAGAGAGAGAGATCCACAAAATCAAAAGGCCTTCTTAAAAATTCGATGAAAAATTTCAATTTGTCGTTTATTGATTCGGAAAGGGAAAAAAATTCTCACTTCACGCATATCTTTCATTTCGACAATCGCACAATGGAACCTGGTAGACTGTCAGTAATTTGAAGCGGCGCCCAAGGTCTTATATTATCTCACATAATTCTTTGACAACACAAAAGACAGCGAAGAAAAGAAGGCAACCCAAAAAATGATGATAAACGAAAAATTTTACGGATGTATGATATGGATTATGTTTTGCTTTTCCTCTGCCTTTTCTATCCCGATCTTGTATACATTTATATATGTGTAGGGAATATGAAGGAAGTTTTTTCGAGAAAGAATGTTCGTCAGAGAAATGAAATGAGTAAATATACAAAGAATATGCAACTTAGGCCAAACACAATTAATTTTTGCATCAGTAAATGGATCAAAGAAGCTTCTTTGTTATAATAAATGTGAAGCAATAAAGTTGAGGATGTATCTACATTTTTGAAGAGATCATTTAGAATTATGTTTATGCTCCATGTGAAAATTGACGAAGTGAGATCAAAATAAAAAAAAACGAACTAATGTTTGAAGGGAGTCGAAGCAATTTTCATATTATCTACATAGTTGGAGTCTAAACAAATCAAAAACTTTCACAACCTAAAGGAGGATCTTTGCTCTCATCTATCTTTAATGATTGAACGATGATGCATGTCGAAAGACGAAAATTCGTGCTTGGGTTCTCATGATTCTATGACTAAATTGTCGAAAGTCACCATGCTGTGATGAAGTAATGAAAATTCTTTGATTCATCGAGAGAAGAGAAGACGTAATTTTTTGAATTTGAAGGCTCCGAAACGTAATGTATAAGTCAAAAAATATTTCGATTCAATAGGAACATATAATTATGAGACATGAGGCTAAATCAATCAACAGAAAAAGTCATTTGTCATGGAATGGTTGTCTCAACATTCAGAACATTCTCAGATAGTTTATTGTATAACATCTCGAGAAATCTACGTTTTTGTACTGGACTAATGATCGACAAGACACGATCATAAGGACAAGATGATTCTACAAAACACAAAAATGTAATCATTAAGTCTCCATACGTTTTTTATTTTGCTCTCAGCATGGGTTTTTGTTCTTCAACGGTGTGAGCGGTTTCTTCAGTTTTATACTTAGCGAAAACAAAAAAAGAATGATATTAAAAAAAAACTGGTTTTTAAGATTCTCATATACAAATTTAATTTTAGATACACGTTTTTGTCTGTAGAACTCTTGAGCGCCTTAATTGATCCTTTTATTTAAAGTTTAAAGAAAAGGACACAATAATGATGCACCATAGAAATCATCTTAAACCTTTATAAGTATTCAAATCAATCATTCTTTGTATGGAAGCAGAAACAAACTCTTCTTAATTCTTTGTCATATTTTTTATGCTGTAATGTTTATCAAGTGTCAAAGACATATGTATAACACCATCCGGATCATTGAATGATATATATTTATGATTGTTCAAGTGAAGGAAGTAAGAAAGAGTAATGCAATATAAGGACAATCGATTATTACCGCATTGAACAAGATAATAACATGGAAAATGTGCAACTAACATTGTCATTATGTTCTTGTCTCGAACCCTAAGCAACAATCGGAATTCCCAATTATCATTTATCAAAAATTTAAGTAAGAGGAGAAAACCAGAGAACAATAAAAAAACAGGTCACAAAAGGCAGACACCTGACATGACATTTTCTATTATTTCTTTTGATCATAAGCCAAGCTGATCTTTTATCTTCTTCTTTCTTCATTTATTTTTTTTTCTGTATTGTCATCTTTTCTGTTAGAAGAAAAACACTTCACGTTCACAGCAAAATGAATCAACGTTGGCTTTTATGCTGTCTAGTTCAGAACAATAATAACAGCCTAATATTGCAAAATTTAAAAGAAAAAGTCAACCATCATCAACAGGTACCACGCTAAGGTGGAATGGAGAGACAGATATACTGAAACGAAACAAAAATAATTAATTTTATATAAAAGCCATTAATATTCTTGTCAGAGGGAATGTTCTTTGAGAAATTCGATGTCACAGCGCCCTAGGGCGTTCTCTTAATTTTTTTCTTTTATTTTCGGTGCGTTTTGGCGGTTTCAGAATAAAAAAAAATCCAATTCTTCTTAGAATTAAGAAAGGACTCGATAATAAGGACTTTTCAAAAGGAAGTCAAGCGTTAATAATTCAATTTCTTTAATTGCATTGATTGCTTTACTTATACTCTATCCTTTCACTTGGTTTCGATCTGCTTTAGGCAATATCTTTGATCTCTTGCTGGGTTAAACTCATCAACTTTTGGATCAGAAAAGGGGAAATTGTTTATCTATGTAGAACACAACTATAATTTATTCAATGAGTAGCATGTTATGTATTAAAGTACTTTCAGTTGTTACATATTAATCTTCAATGTTTATCGAATTGTTTAAGAACTTTGTTATAAAATTATAAAAATATCCCCTAATTTCTCTTAAATATTGGAAAACATAAAAACATTTCTCTTTTATCTTATAGTTACCTGAAAGATAACTTTTCATATTGATATGTGGTTTATTATAGATAGTTTGAACCCCAAAGTCCACCAACGAAGGTAACACGATAATGTGAGGAAACAGACACAACAAAATGATCTAGAAATCGATTGAATAGAATCTCAATTGTGGGTAAAGTTTAGAGAGTAAGCAAACTAAACCACACAAAGATATCTACTCCCTGTAGTCAAGCGATAGAAAGATGTAAAGAATAAAAACGAATAGAAAAGAACAAGAAGGAGTCGTAAAACATAAAACCAAATTATATCACCATAAGTTTTACTTATCATACAGAGTTCATCTCATGTAAAGGAAAATTATTGATGTGATGATTTTTGACGGCATCCATGACTTTATTTTTTGATGCACAAATGGTAGGACCAAATGTAGAACAGCGTCAATTAGTCCTTTTGGTAATTCTCACAAAGCCATAAACATTTTCGGATTTTCCTTTGAAGAAATTCGAGCCGAATATCTATTCAAAGGGTTCCGAATTCACAAATCTATAAAACAATAAAAAGTTTAAATTTCATTAACAGCACAAACTTTTCTCGGAAATTTCATGAAAGTAGAAAGAAATTTGTAATTTTGCGCAATATCCATAATGAATTCAGTTTGAGAGAATTTTCCTTTTATTTACAACTCTGATCATAACATAATGTGTAATATTATCTTTCCGAGAGATTTTTCTTTATTATTTAATACATGTATATGCATGAACACTTGCTCAACCTGTTATATTTATTCTATTTCTTTAAATAAAAACATTCTTATGTAGTACGAAAAGTACATTAAAGGTGCGATATCAAACAATCTTAAAGAAATTAAAATATTTAAATCTTCAAGTTTCCCAAAAAAATAATCTTTGAGCAAATCTTTATTTTTGATGAACTTTTGTTTGAGATGTTTTGGATTAAACGCCTCATTACAAATTACAAAAAAAGATTCGATATCTGGTAGCGCTCATGCAACATTTTGTCGTGTCACATGGTTGTGTTAAGTTAACACAGAGAAAATTGTAAAATGTGTTTGTGAGAAATTTCCCCTCAATTCTTCTCCGCAGCTTGAAACATTTTTATGTGTGTTAAGACGCTCTTGTTGCAACTGTATGTTTTATATTGTTACACAAATCGCCTCTCATTGTTTAATACTGATTTGAACAAGTCAGACGTGTTTTGATATTTTTTGCTCCAAAGTATAAAGATTAACAAATGCATCTAATAGTTCAATCTAAATCTACCTAGAACATTTATTTTAAGCATTCAAGTTTATCCAAGAAAACAAGTTGAAAACTGTTCAGTGAAAAATAACATTAAGAAGTGAAAAAAGAAGACGATAACGAACTTAAAATTCATAAAGAAAAAATAGAACAATATCTTAAGAAGTTGAAAATTGAACAATAAAATTTCAAGAACCTTTTAATCAGTTGACAAATTTTACATTAAATGATCTTTCGCAGGTGAGTTTTCTGTTCTTTTTTTTTAAATTTAAAATACATATAAATGATTAATGGATTAAAGTATGGAAAGGATGATAGTGAAAGTTATTAGGCATACTGATAAATATCGTACTCATGATAGTATCTTTATGAGTTTTCAATCTTCACGAATCGGTATTTATTAATCAGTTTGAATTTAAATTTATAAGCTTCCATGATCATATTCTTCTTTAACACATTCTGGTCATCAAAGACAGCTTACAAGAAATTTTATGGATTTTTATGACATGTTCCATTCGTTTCTTTCGAAAAAAGTTTCAAAAAAAAAATTAATTAAAATTGGCTTGGCAAAAATAAGTTCTTGGAATTGGTTTTTGTTAATATATTTTCAAGAATATTGTATTTTTTATCCTTTTCTTTCGCGACTTTGTTGATGAAATGATACCTTTTTTTCAAAGGTTTGCCCTAAAGGTGACAGCAGTTCTGGTAACTTCAAGCTCATGATAAATAAGTTTTTGAAGCATTACTAAGAAAAAATGCATTAAATTTGGATATTTGTTTGCAAGCAATATTCATTCCATTGCAACATATGCAACGATGCACAGAACAATATTGAAAAAGTATTAAAAATTTGCTAAAACAGCCACACTCAATATACCAAAATGATATTTGAGTCGTTACCGCTAATCTTCAAGCCAAATATTTTTTTTGGAAAATTTATTGGATACTTCTCGCGAAGCATATTAAATTGCGTCAGAGACATTAAATTTTCTTTTCTTCAGAAGCACCATATTAGATATCTGAAGATCTTAAAAAGAATCAAAGTTGCACAAATTTGAATCATCTCTGAATGTATTGAAATAAATATTTAAAAATAACCAGTTTTATGATTTATGACATAGGAAATTCATTGATAAAAAATTCATTTTTATCTTCTGAAAAAAGGAAGAAAATATTTTATAATTTATCTATCTGAAGAATTTAAATAAATATTTTCATTATTTATCCCAAACTCTGATTAAGTGTCTGATTCCCGTCGGAAGTTGTTCGCTGTTTTTAATGCGTATGAAATTATCTCAGAGGTTTAGGAAAGCTTTTATTTGATCACTCTCTTCGATTAAATTGCAAATTACTCTCATCAGATTTTTTTCTTTTTCTTCAAATTGGGCAATAAAAAGAACTTATTGTGTTCTGGTCTTCGTATGTTTGTATCAGTAGCTCAAAGAAAAGAAACACCATCAAATACTCATTTTGTTTGGTTGCGGTTATTTAATATTTATGAAATGACATTGGCTTTTTATGTTAAAATTTTAAAGAATGGTCATGCTCATTATGCGTTAGCGAACAAATAAGGAGAGAAAAGGTCGAAACAAATATAAATGCAGATGTGAAAATATTTACTTGTAAATTAATGGCGCTAAATTGAAGAAAATACAAATTACCACTATTGTAATTTTTCGATATTTCATTTTGATCCACATTTTAATTTTGTTTTCCTCTCAATATTTATCATTCACAGATATAGCACTGCGTAGCATTTAAGTGTTCAAATACAACGAGAAAGAAATCCATCCTATAATGTCATCCCAGCCCCCAAATTTTCTTCAGACCGATATGGAGAAAGCAGCAATGCAGCATCGCTTAAGCATGCAATTGAATTTACTGCAACACTTACAAATGCAATTAATGGCCGGCTTGGCACCTCCGTCACCACCAAATCAACCGCAAAATTTATTATCGCCTTTGGAACAAGCAGTAACCGGGAATAATAATTTGCAATCAATTATGCACCCGTTTTATTCGCGTTTAAGTCATCCGACACAATTGGCATCCGTGTTATCTACGTCATCGAACGTACCTACACCACAACCTTTTCAACCGCATACAGGATCATCATTCGACATGAATAATATAAATAATGAATTATTGCGAATGAAAAAACTAAAATCGGCTGAATATGAATCAATAAAGAAAGAAGGGAATTCGCCAATGATGAGTAACAATAACAACTTCCATTTGTCGGAATATACGTCAAAATCTCACGAGTCTCAAGAGAGCTCAGATAAATCACTTAGTTGCGCTTCTGCTCCCACAATGGAAAAAGTACGCAAACATCGTCAAATGAATGCTTTCCCATCGAATCTTGGTACACAATTTATAAATCCAGCGACTGGCAAGAAACGAATTCGATGCAATGTTTGTTTTAAAACTTTTTGCGATAAAGGTGCATTAAAAATTCATTTTTCGGCTGTTCATTTGCGTGAAATGCACAAATGTACAGTCGAAGGATGTACAATGATGTTCAGTTCAAGAAGATCACGTAATCGTCATAGTGCAAATCCAAATCCAAAACTTCATTCATCAAACTTACGAAGAAAGATTTCTCCACATGATGGACGAAGCTTCCAAGCTCGTGCAATGTTTTTCCCACAAGTTTCAGTTCCTAAGGTTCCAGTTCTATATCCAAACGATGCCGTCCTCCAATTACCACCAGCATCATCATCCCAATACGTCAATCAACCTTCAGCATCACCTTCAGTCGACTCTATAAAGTCTGGCGAGTGCGAGTATAATGACACGAGTGTCAGCGATTATGAGGATGATGGCAATATTTCTGTAGATGATTTCGAAAATTCATTAAACAATCCCATCGTGAGCGACACTGAGTCACAAAATGAACCACATGATTACAGCGTAAAGAAAACTTCACCAACAATAAGAGTGAAGAGTGACAAATACTTGACGGGTAAGCAAGACTTTGCTGATGATATTGTCATTACTAACTCGAAACGCAAGCGGAAAAGTCAGAACCCTATTAAATGCACCAATAGCACTCTCGACTTGGTTATGGGATCAAAACTGATGAAATATAACGAACCTAGTGAGACAATTGAAAATTCTTCAGAGAAATTAAACTGCGAGCTGTCAAAAAACTTTAATAATATTGATGAATCGTCTTCTGAGTTGGTGGCAAATGACAAAAGAGAACTGGATGAAAATGAAGCGATTGATCTTCGCTCAAAATCTCCAAAAAACTCATCGAAAAATTTGCACAGCAAGAAACTGTTTGGTCCTAAATACCCACCGTTCAATTTTTTAATTAATTCCATTCTCTCGAAACCACCGGCAACATCAGATGGAGAAAGTGAGTCGGATGTAAGCTCCACAAATGAACACGAAGACAATCGTTATTTTCAAGAGAATGGATCATTCATCAGAGTGTTCTAGGATTCCGATAATATTTTTTAAATAAGAAAATCAAAAATCAAGATTTATGCAGTGATACATAAAAGATCGTCCGATGTATGTTTTTTAGAGATAAAAAATAGTATTCTTTGAATCTCAGTTAAATTTGTCACGTTGTCTCACGTCTCTGTTATTTAAGTAGGAAATAAATAAATACCTAAATAAATTTTCTTTTATGTATGATCATGATTCATAATCAGCCGTCTTGGTATTATCGCGAAATTTTTAAATGTCTTCTTAATAATGAAAAAGAGAGTGAAAACTTTGTTTAAAGTATCTAAATAATAATTGTATTGATTTATTAATAAATAAAATAAAAAGTAATAAATAAAATCATAACGAATATCAAATTAAGTATAAATTTAGAATTATAATGAAACAGAAAATAAAGTTGAGAATATTAAGTTTAAACTTTAAAGACTTTATGTCATTGTCGTCAATTTCCGTTTCATTTTTCCAGAAATTTTTCTTCTTACAGTTCAGCAGAATTTACAAAATTTCAAAAAAATCGTCACCTCAACTTGATGAACCAATTAACGCATTATGAAATATTAGTTGTTAGTGTTAACGTGTTCAACTATTTAAATACAGACTCTCGCCCAGTAGTTAACACAAGTTCACTTGGGTTTATGAAATCCTAAAACATGTTTCGATTCAGCTAGTTTCATAAAAATAAACTTCAAACGCACTTTGTTATTTTCTCCAGGAAATAAGTGAAAGAAAATTAATTTCGAGAAAAATTTTAAAAGATTTTCCTACTGTTCAATGAATTTCTTTATTTTAATAGACATGTAATATCATAATCCATCTACATAAGCATCAAAACAGACCGTGACAAGCCTTCAATTAAATGCGAGCACCATCAAATTCAAGGAGTGAAGCAAAAAGTGTTTGCTAAAATTTCATTAAATAGATACATACAATTAAGAACTGGAATCAGTATAAATAAGAATCAAGGTTAATCTTTTCAGATATTTTGCTAAATTTATCGATGTTTCAATTTTAATGAGAAAACAAATAGACGAAAACAGAGAATGAAAATTGATTTGCCAAATTTTAAAAACGATACAATTAATGACAATGGCTGACCTTGAAAAAACAGATTTTCAGTATACATAATTATAAGTTTTTCTTATTAATTTACAGAATAAACGTTTTAATGTCAAACGAAAATTTTTGGTCTGCTTTTGTTGTCACATTTTCGTCTCATTGTTGATTCTCCAGTACAAAAAAAAAGTTCAACTAAGAATGTCGACTTTCATCACTAATGACGTAATGTAAGGTCTGATCTTGTTAAGGGTAATAGAAAAGTATTTAAATTTCATATCTAGAATGCAAATCATTGCTTTTATCTAATGAATATTCTACAACTTTCATTGCATAGTAATGAAATGTCAAATTCTTTTGTTTGTCGAGAATGAATAGTCGTTATTTTAATTTTTGCATTGGGGTTATTCAAGCTTTGAAACAGACAATAAATATAAGGTAAAGGGATGCATGTTTATGCTGAGTTTTCCGCAAATCACGATCTGCTCTATACAGCATCATACGTCATACTTTAACCATTAATTTTAATTAAACGAATTGATTATGCCAAAAACATTCACAACCATTTCAAAGAAAGATAAATAATTGTAAAAAATATTTTCACTCTCGTTCCTTTCATTGTTCGACTCTTCATTATCGATTCTTACATGCCATTGCCAGTGTCAACGAAATTTTTAAAGAGAATTCGCAAATATTGGAGAAGATGCAGCGTAACATCGACTGACTACATATAATTTTTACGACCAATAATTTAAGACACAAATATCAGAAGCAATTAAGACAGTTAGCAGTAATTTTTGTTTTTCCCCGAATGAAGAAATTGAATAAAACAAATTCACAAACAGGGACTCAAGCTCATATTTATAAATAATATTTAAATGCAGGAGAAAATGAAGCAAAGTAAATTATAGATTTTGACAAAATTTATTCACAAATTGAGAGAGTTGAACCATGCCCACCATTCTTTTATTTATTTCTGCTTCGTAACCAGGCAATCTGATCTTATGCTTTGATTCCTTGGCAGACGTTGAGATTGCTAAAATTCAAGAGTGTGTGAAAATGACAGCGGATACTAACTGATTGTTTAAATATTCATATCAATTTTTATTACTTTCATTTAAATGAAGAATCTCGACATTTAACTATATTTAATGTTGATTTAACTTATTATTAGACGTTGTTTCGATTCTTATTAGCACTCACTCGAATAATGATACCTCATTTTTGCAACAAAATGAACTTACTCTAACATTCGCGCTAACTAAGTAACCAGACACCGGTCATTTTGCTTCTTGCCTTCATTATATTCATTGAGTCAACAAAATCAAGAGAATCGTTTTCAAATGATTGCTGTTTGAGGATTTGCAAGGATCTTAATTTTTAATGGTTTTTAAAAGAATGCCTAAAGAACCAACAAAAAAATATCTCCTGAAACAAAAAACATTTCATTTTAAAGCAAAATCATTATGAAGAATAGTTTTGAGTGCTTTTAACAAATGAAATAGATAGAATGCCAGCGATTTATTTTCATCCAAAAATGATATATGAAAGCAGAGGCAAAAAAGAATCATGAAATGCATTTAACAATCTATCGTGAACACGTCCAAATTCTCCGCTTCTCAGACACTTTGAACATTAAATATCTCATGCTAACGCAAAACAAAAACAAAACTTTCAGAGAAATCATTTACAAATTAATTGATTGGGCGTTTCACAAGTGTTTTAAAAGATAAAGTTTATAGTCATTTACTCTTTTGTGGTTGCATTCGTTTTTGAGATCCTCCTAAATGCATGATCTAAATTTCGTTCCAAACTATAAACTGTTCTGTTCTGTTCTTTTTTTTTGTTTTGAAAGCGTTTTCTTTTATTCTGTAATTTACTTCTTAGGTAGTTTTCCCATCCTAAACGTCTTTAAACGGAACGATGTTTTATGTTGTTTCTCTGGAATGGAATATCAAGCATCGCGAAATAAAGAATCCAAATGATATTGAGACTATAGGAAGTAAATTATCACTTGTGAAGTTCTGTTTTGTCTGGCATATGCTTGATGACTTAAACTTCTCTCATGACACACTGAAATTCCATTTGTAAAAGTTTAACCCTGAGTGATTTCTTTCGTTTAATTTAATTATATACTACACTGATCTGTTTCGTGTTCATATCCTCTTTTCTGATAGTTCCATCTTAAAAAGAAAATAATAAAACAAAACGACTAGCTTCTTTTATATTTCTCCTTTAACTTTACAATTACTTACAACAAATTTTTCTTTTAATTTCATATAATGAAAAGTCAATTTCACATGTCATTAAGCGTAAGTCACAAGTTAACAACATCAACTACAATCATTTTAAGTAAACACACGACGAATATTTATGTGTAATCTCTTTGACACGCATAAATCACGAAGCTGATTTTCGTTTGAAAATTCAATTCGTTAGTTGTCATGTAAGCGGTAGTGTCAAATGAGAGCTTATAATAAATCTCATGACGACTGTTCTAATGGATTTCAAATAATGGCATTTCAGACAAACGAGTCAGATAATTGAGTGAAAACGTTTTAATTATCATTAAAATGTCAAAGCATGACGCATCGTCACAACGATCGTTTCATCTTGTGCGACATCTACTAGCTAAGCATGTTAATTTTTATTACTTATAACAAATGGTTCAGTGGTAAACATTCTATCATAGAGCTAAGACGCTTACTAACCAGACAAATTCATTTGACTTCTATACAATCTGTTGTTTGATTGTGAATTGGATGACTAAAAATAAACGAAAAAGTGAGTTCAACCATAAACAAAACATGCATTGAATATTCTTTAGAGTTTGTATGAAACGTGCGTCAAAGAATTTCTTAACATGTTGCTGGCTGTTTCAAATCTTTTTTTTTTACTAAATATTAAATGGACATTTTTTTATATTTCAATTTTAAAATTAATGCCTTTTAAAAATAAATTAGAAGATAGTCGGCAGCGGTCAATGGTTAACCCTAATTTTTACACATTTTTGATATTTTACATATATATTCCTCATCTTTAAAATGATTGGGTTTAAAACGAAATAAAAGAACGTGGAATCTATTTAAAGAAAAAGCAGAAGCAACAGTGCTCGCGTACATTGACGTTTTGCTTTTCTTTCACTTAATATTCGATTGGAATGCTTTTCTCAATATGTTGGAAAAATGAAACATAATGGTGAGTTATCATTCTATTAAGCGCATCTTGGTAGCTTCCTATAATGTTTTACAAAATTATTAATAGGCAGACTTGTCAATTTATAATTTCCTTAGAAGAGTTTTATGAAATAATAAAAAAATGATTTCAATTAAACAGTCGAACTAGAATGAAACACGGACGTATTTAATTGAAAATTTTATAGAATAACTTTAAATTACGCAATCACTGAAGAAAGCGATGTGTTCAATGGTTTGGGTATTTTAAATAATTGAAAATTTGGATTTTCCTTCACCAAAGAACCAACATTTATGTAAATAAAAACATTTTGATTTGCAAGATTAAAGGATGTAATTTCAATGATTAGCCTTTTACCAAAATTCCTTTTCGCTATTATATTTGGATGAATATTTAGGCGGAGAATATGTCAAAAGTAATTACGAGATTAGTCAATCGTTAAATTTCTTCCATGAGAATGAAAGAGATGGAAAGAGGAAAACAAAAACATCAAAGAAATTCAGAATGCAATAAAAATTTTCCAACATAAATTCAAAAAGCGAACTTCATGACAAATTTTCCAAGTATTGAATCATTTAAAATTAAAAATCAATTTTCTGAAGATTTTTGAGGGTTCTTTCACTTCAAGTATTTTTCTCTTTCTTTGAATAAAAATTGCAGTTGAACTTAAATGTTGGTCGCTGCAACACCCAGTTTGTCAGTTTATTTTAATCACAATTAGACGTTTGCAATTTCTTGTAATTCTTTTGAATCTATACAAATAGACAATAAAATATTCTCTCATAACATTTTCTCTTGATGACTTTGAAGTATTAAATTATGAAAGGGAAGGAAAGAACTTTTTTTTCTATATGACAATTGTAAAATACCAAGATACAAAGTCAAAGTAAGAAATTGAGAACTTTACACAAATATTGGTAAGTCGATAGAGGTTTACAAGTACACAAACAAATCCTATTCAATATTCAATATTTTTGCCAGATTCACAACTCACTTAAGGTCAAATAAAATTTCTCATGGATATTTGAAATAAGTAACAAATGTAGTTAAATAATAAAGTAATGATCAAGAATATCTACGATTAAGCTTTCCACAGAAAATTAGGCATCCATCAAACCTTATCAAGTGTCAAATGTAAAGTGTATCTAATTAAACGAAACTAATGATACATCGTTTCTTCAACAACACAAAACGAAGAAAAAAGAGACGGTTCGAATTGTCAATTATTCTGCCAAGAGTCGTCATCGCTCACCTCCAAACTCAATTGCTTTTTAGATTTGTCATTCACTTTAATTAAAATAAGAAACATCTCAAAGACGTTTCTTAAATCGTTTCAATCGTTAAAAAACCTATTTGTCATAAGACATTTTTTGGACAGGTTCAGAGGTTCAATAATGGAAGTTTGTTGAAGACTCGATAGACTCTGTAACTTGCGATTCAACCCTGACAGTTTGTATCATATAATAATGAACCATGTTATTATTCAAAGAATCACTGATGACTTTTTCGAGAGACGAAAAAAAATTGATTTTCAATCTATGATGTTTTCTTGAATCTTCTTTTTATATTCCGAGAAAACGACGCGTCGTTGATGGATTACAAAGCATTATATTTCGAGGAGTGAGATGACATTGAAATCACATGCGTTGATGAAAAGAATGAAACTTCGAGAGACTTCGCTTACTTTGGATTCACTATTATAATAAATATTTTTCGTCGTTATTGCCATTGCGTTCGTTGACCAAGAATAAGACATAAAAATGAATTATCGATGACATATATGTATACATTAATCTCAAAAGGTTATTTTTTGATTTTCTTGATTGTATGCGTCAAGCAAGAGCAAAAGCAAAAAAGTAAATGTTTTCTTTGTTTCTTGCTTATGATTACTTTGAATATTCCAATGTTCAATGCCTGACACCGTGCGCATCAGAATGGGTTGGGGTGATCACGACAAGACTCGACATCTTTCAAGCTCGAAATATGTAACACCAATGAGTCGTCAAAAATTGACATACAAGCGATGTTTCAAGATTTTTCCTTAAACATTCCAATAGCAATATGTACGTTCGTACGTACTTTGTATCTTTACTGAATTGAAACCAATCAAGAGTGGAATTGTGTCTCTCAACAAACTTCAAGCCTACATATATTGTCGCTCAAACCGTCTTGTAGATCCAATAGAGGTTTCCGGATTCAGATTGGTTACGTAATGAATTTGGATATCTATATAAGAAGAAAAAAGATCTGAGAAATAATTTAAGCGAATTCACTACACTTTAAAATTGTGTCCGAATAATCGATGGCAACAAAGCAAAAATTGACATTCGGTGTTGACGGTTGAAGGTTAAGTTAAACATTTAAAACCTCAAATTTAGAAGCATAATCTTTTACCTTTTTCTATATATCTATGTACATGTATACATGAATAATAACACGCAATTCAATTGGACACATGAAAGACACTCGCTGTTCGATGAACGAGCAGTAATTTTTTTTCATTATTTTTTCTAAATATGACTGTTAATATTTACAGATTATTTCAAAGACTAATTGAGATGAATCTATCCACCTATTCACCCATGTAGTTATCATTATTCATACTACTTTGAATGTCCTTTACTAATGATACATAATATCGCTTAATTTCCTAGTGCCCAAATTTATTATTTTTTTAAATGTCACAAAAATTACTTTTAAGATAACTCTGAGAATTCATTATTATATTTAATCTTCTTACTGCTAAATAAAAAATATTCAACGTCACCTCTTTTTTGTTGCTTCGAGTCAGTTTTATTATTTTTTTAAGTACCGACGTATTTGATTGATGATACCTAATTGTTGTGAAGCAAATATTTTCATCAGCTGTAAAGATTCTTTACTCATCTTGGTTAAGTTCATAGTGATGTTTCAATACATATTTCAATTATCTAATTGAACTTATTGAGGATATTTTGTATTGTTAAGTTTTAATTTCCCTGATCTGCTTTCTCTAACAAATTCTTAAATCCTTGAAGAATTAATTCCTGTAATTGTTTTTTTTTAAATGTCATGAAATTTAGAGAAAGTTGTAAGATTTTTTACGAATGAATCATCTCATTTAATGCATCTAATAATAGCTTTATACTTTTGATTCCTTACCAAGATATGACTTTTGACGTTTGTATAAATAATTGTGAAACAATTTTGTTAATTGGTCTCCAAACTCGATTCTGTCACCTTCAATTCTGTTTACTTTTTGTCACACAATCATTATTTGACTTACTATTTTTCGAGGCAATCAAAAGAAATGAATCGACAAATTCATTTCTGAATTTTTCATGCATCCTTAGAGAAAAAAGTCATAAGTTTTTAAGGGAACTGAGGTACGTGAATGCATGAGAAATCAAAGATTCTGAAGCACTTAACAACCAACACCTTAATGGTTAAATTAAGGGATTTCAAGAAATTCCTTTCGATGTTGATAATAGATCTTTTGGGTAGAAAAACAACATCGTCATCATCATCACCATCTCTACACTTAGTGTAGACAGTCACACATTCATCAACAACTTTACCATTCTTAGTCTTTTGTCGTCTCTTATGAAAAGTGAAACATACATGAAGCACTGAGAATAATGAGAAATTCAGTCTCCTCGTCAGCTCTTCCAGGATGATGTTGTACATTTTTTGAAGTGTAATTATGATCGTGAAGACAGGCGTTTGAAATGTTAAAAGAAACCGTTTCGCCGACAAATAGAATTTTTAATAAAATATGGACACCTCTCAATTGACGACGCTTCTCATTCATTGACGTTCCTAAAGATTATTATGAGAGTTTGTTATTCAGAACTAGTAAAAAGGGTGCATCGCACGATATTTTATTATTCTTACGAAATGATGCTTGATATTTTCTCGGTTTCAACTTAGGACCAGTGATGGTTGCAAGTTCATGCAACACAAACAATCCCATAAGTTTCCTATCAATCTACAAACACAAAGTTTTGATTTATATTCCCAACTCTGCATGAAATGTATGCATTTCAGCAAATATTAACAACTTTTGTTTTTCATATGTTCACTTCCTTCTAACTCCATGTGTGCAAGTTTACCAGTACCGAGCAAAAATAGAATTTTATTGTGTTCACTTCGAAAATTCCAAATTATAAAATTAAACTTAGCAGTCAGCAAGTGTTGCGAGCAAGAATGTGAAAAAATGCGGGCAGATGTATTGGAGTCATTTGAGTGGCACTTTTAACGAGTTCACGATTAAGTAGATCATTTTGTTTTTATAGTTTTTCTGATTTTTTTTTGCTGCTGTTGACGCTGACGTTAATAAAACTTGAACTGTGAAAATCAGAAATTACGGAAAGGGGAGTTCCATTCATTTTTCCATGAATATAATAACTTTTTATAGAAGCATTTATAAATATTAAAGAACAAATCTTGGTCACATTAAATGTTTAAATGTTTATGTTCATGTTAGGTAATTCTATAGAACGACAAGAAATAAATGTATGAAGTGATAAAAGTTCATAAGTTGGATGTGCATATCTATAACTTGGTTCGTTAGAAATTAAGGGACGAAAGTTGAGAAGAAATCTTTGACTGATTTCACTAATGTTGAGTATTAGAAATCATATTTTCATTTAAGAAAACCTACTTGAAATATTTTCAATATAGCGCGATCTAAAATACTGATCTTACCTACTTTAAAGTTGCATGTTACATTGAAATATCGTCATGGTATAAAGCAGATCATCAGAGCACCATTGCGTGAAATGCACAATGCAATTTTGCAGATAATAATTAACACTTTCATAGTTTTTTTTCTCCAACCTCAAACACAAATATTTTAAATCTCCGAAGAAGAGAAAACTTTTGTTCTTCACATTTCACTGCATTCTTATTTAAATAATAAAAATAATGCATGAGATCTGTTTCATGTATCTAATTAAAGCTTTTCTTTTCATGATATAAATTTAGCTTATTCAATGTAAATCGATATTTGAATTTCTTTAATCAAATGACGACTTGCGCTTTACTTTTTATTTAAATTTCTGTCAAAATAATCCGCAATGTTTCATGTCTTAATATCTCGGAATCTAAATTGGTGGTCCCAAAGCTTGTTAACAGGTAGGCAATAACAAAATTCTCTCTGACGATGGAATGTGTTGCTTTATACTGTTCATATTCTTTAATATCTTAAGACTAAGTATGTATACTCTCCTTCGTAAAAATGTGTGTTGGTTTTTGATTGAGAACAATTAAGTTTATGCCATTGCGGTATAGAAATAGACGAAATCTTAATTTGCCATATGTTACCCGAAAAGAAGAATAAAGAATGCTTTTGATTACATATAAGTTTGATTGAATGATTTCTTTTTCCATCTCTTTGGCTATTTTTTATATTTCTCATGTGGATTCAAGTTTTGAAGCCGTATGTGTGATTAAAGGGAGATTAATAAGGAAATTGTTTTTGATCAACTATTTTTACGCCGATGATAGAGAGCCACACTGTTGATGGATACAGTAATATTATTGAACAGCGAGATGAAACAGTCGATGCTTAATGATAATTTCAGTAACCTCAGGAACAAATTTTTGATGTTGCTTGGAGTTATTAAAACCCGCAAGTCAAATCATCTACATATGGCGTGCAACTTATCATCTTAGTCCAAAAATCTAATTCAAGATATGAATTAGGAAAATTTTAGACGTTTCTTAATTTTAAAGGAAAGAAGAAAATGTTGAGATTTTAATGCCGTATATGACCTCATACATTTAATCAACAGCTTTTAGACAAAATTTTAAACATTATGTGTTGGACTTTCGGCAACATACATAATTTGTGTGAAGTGGAGTAAATAAGCTCCCGTTTTTTATCTCTCGAATTAATTTTGATGATTGAGCACACAATGTAAAATTTGTTTGTATTATTATTTTTTATTTTTTTACTATTATGCAAATATAGAATTTTAAGAGTTTATTTTTTGAAGATGATATTGCAAAGCATAAAAGAAAGAAAAAAAAAATAACATCATCACAACGTAACATATAATAATATAAAATTAATATTGCCAAAAGAACTGTTAATTTGTATAAAGAATTCACCTGCTTGTGGTGGTTCCAATCATAGATTTTCGATCATTTTCTTCACAATAACAATTTTGCTTCGATGGGCTTCCAAATTAAATTCACGAGATAAATTTTGTAAGCATAAAAGCCAGACGAGTTTTTGCTTAATACAGAAAACGTGCATTTAATGGTTTTGAAATCATCTCTAGAAAAACACTAATATTTTCGATCAAAGAAACTTTGTTAAACTGGCAGATAATGAGTGTAGTCTAAAAATCTATTATAGGAAAAGAAAAAAAAACTTCTAAATGATTCTTTCTTTCACAAAGATTTCGAGATTGAATTAAAAGTCGAGTAGAAATTAAAAAGATTTAAATTATTTGGAATTTATAAATCACATAAATAAAGATCGAAAATTGACACCTTTTTTCCATTCATTACTATTTCGGTTCATTCAAATAAAATACAATTCTAGGCAAGTGTTTTCGCTTTATTCAGTTTTGATTTCAAGCGATTAAATCTTAAATCATCGTTTCTATCATTTCGTTCGTTTATTGATCTCATTTTCATTTCTTTCTTTTTGTTTCAAATGGTTCTATGATTTATCAAGTGTTCTATACTGTTCGAATTTTGATTGATTGATTTAATTTAATTGCTCAATATGCTGAATGTGTAGGGAAATGGAAGTGAAACAGTTTTTGAAAAGATTTTCGATTTGGAAGAAATAATTGGAAACCTTTAAGTCTTTCCAATCTCGCACTCTATAAATAACACATTAAGAGTTTTTTTTTCGTTAACTAAATCAATTTTTGAGATATTCTCACGGATTTATGTTTTACTTTGTTCAATACAGTTCAAAATACAATTCATTTAAATAAAAGTTATTTTAATGATTCCTCAGTGAGGAGATTTCAAAGTTATTATTAAATAAAAAAGGTTGAAGTAACGAGAGACGCAACAAAATTGTTTACGAAACTTATTGGCTTCTTTAATAAGTTGAGAATTTTAACTTTACGCATATTGGAAACTAGTAGTTTCCCAGGTGATAATTTTATTAAATAAGTTCAATCTAAGTGCTAATGTCGATATTAATTTAAAAAGATTTTCAAAAAATTCTGCAATAAGCTGACGAAAATAAACAAAATAGAAGCAGAAACATTTCTGAGTATTTTTCATTGCAAATTTTTCTCTTAAGAATGAAACATTTGTTAGCATTCTCAGCCACAATTCTTTCGAACTTCCCCCATTTCTGATGATGATGATGACGATGAAATGATAATCAACAAATATGAGAAAATGAGCAAAACTTCTACAATAATCTTGGCATTCGTAAACTGCCTTTGATTCTCGTTATAATAATGTATTCGTTTACATATCACTTATGAGAAGGTACGACATTCTCGTCTATTCACTGATGTCTTCACCCTCTCATTTCTTTATTTTTTTTATTCATTAAACTGTAGTTAAGGAAAATTGTTATCGTTCACGTGACTCAACTGTTGCATAATTCAAAAAACTGCCATAATTCGAAATATATTAAAAATGATTATGTTGCACTAAATAATTTGAATTAACATAGAATTTCCGCCACTTGCAATGTTTACTAATTATTTAGAAATATCTTCATTCAAAATGGTAGAAACAACAGGAAAGATTTTTTCAATAATCAATGCTCAGGTTTAATTACAAAAAAAAATCTATTGATTTCTAGAATTATTCCCTAATTCTCAAGAAAACTATCAGCATTACCATGAAAAAAGCTTCTCAATGGACTAACATCAAATTAAAGGAAGATTTTGTTCCGAAGAAGAAGTAATGTTTACTATTGATTTTTTTTAAATTTAACCCCTGCCGGTAATGTTCGGAGTGTTTTATCGAGGTAGTTTCTACTGAAAGTTATTAACTTTTGAGACTCATTATTTTCCAACATTAACTCCACATCCCATAGTGTATGTAACAGAGGAGAGATGACTTAAATCGATGTATTTCCGTACATTAAATATTAATTTAACATTTCTTCTTCTTATTGCATCTCCGGCAGATCAAAATTGATTTGTTTTGATTGATTTCCTTCCCACGCTTTTCCATGTTTCATATCTAAGTTAAAAGACAATTTTTTATTCAATATTATGGAATGTTTTGTATACCTTACGTATGTATTTGATAAATTCGTTTCATAGCTTGACATTAATCACAGTTGGACATTAATCATCATTATCGATTCGAAATTCATTAAAATAGTCTTAGTATTTGAAGATCAGCAAATTTCACCAAGCCGAGTTTTGTTTTTGCTTGAAAATCTCTAAAAATCTGTCTCAGAAATTTTATGTGAATTTAACTACATTTTTATAAATATCTGTGAAGATTAAATAGTGTTAAAATCATCTTCCAGTTCTAAAGTCTATTTTCTTGAAAATCTTCTCGCATCAGGTTAACATTCTCTCAAAATTAATAGGTAAAGCTTCAAGTCATTTATCTGACCATTGTAGATACAAAAAAAATAACTCATAACGATCTTTATTCCATTAATTCTTGAAGCGAAAAGAAAAGAAAAATCAAAAATTGTAGCATATGGTTAGTGATGGTGTTTTCTAGCTCGCATCATGTGT